CATTTTGAGGAGTGCTGAGCCATGGGGCTGTTTTGGGGAAGCATTGTCCCGTGGCTCCAGGCAGTCCTAGTGGCCAAGAGTTCCAGTTCCTAGTGCCATCCCAGCTCGACATCAGAGTTTCCCTGCCCAGCATTGTCTCTTCCCAGCCCCACGGGCACTCCTGTCCTTGGAAACATTTCCTTTCAGTTTCCTTCTCCTGGACTTGGCAGGAGGAGAGCGATGCCCTCATCACCTGCCTGGGAGAAGCCAGTTCAGGTTAATGCAGGCCAAAGGCTTTGTGTGCCTTGGAAAGCATTTGCTGGAGCTGGTTGGGCAATTCCTGGCTTTGGCTGGTGTCCTGATGGGAATGCTGGAAGTGCAGGCTTGAGTCAGGCTGGGAGGTACTGGGAGGCATCCCTGCTCCAGCCCTGAGCAGCACCAGCACAGTCAGGCTGCTCAGCACCCAGCCAGTTCCAGCATCTCCTGCTGGGGATCCCAGCACCACTCCGGTCCCTGTTCCTGTGCTGGACCACCCTCAGGGTGAAAAGGCTTTATTTTCCCTTCTCTAACTGGTGGGGAGCCTTACAGTGCAGGAAGGATGCACCCACATGCTGACAGATCCAAAGATGTGGATCCCCCTGTGGGTCCCCAGGGCTGCTGCAGTGCAGTGACAGCGATGTGACAAGGTGTGGCAATGGCCACCTTCCCTTCTCACATCTCTCAGTGGAGAACAGGCTTAAAACTGAGTGCTCAGCTCAGCACCAGCAAGCACAACTTGCAGCACATTCTGCTTGCCCCATTCAGCTGCTTGCATTGTTTCAGGGAGATAAGGCTTGTGGTTTTCTCCTGCCAGCCTTATGCAGGATGGTGCTTGGGGGTGCCCAGTGTCAGAATGCCTTTGCCTTGCCTGGTTTTGGGGTTCTGTGGGGGTAGGGGGGGGCACAGCCTGCAGCTCTCTGTGGCCACTAATGTTGGCAGAGCCACTGCCCATCATCCCAGCAAGCCAAAATCTGCCTGTGGAGGGGCTGACCCTGTGATGGCTAGGAGAACTCAAGCTCCCTACATGCTCCCAGTGTGCATGCTTGGAGTTTCCCAATTTCTTGGTCACATGAACATCCAGAATGTGCTTGTGTGCTTCTCAGGGTTTGTTTTGGTCTTTTAAAGTCCCTGTTTTGACATGTCTTTTCGGAGGCGTTTCGCATCGCTCCTGACCATGACTCTCCCCCATGCTCAGGGGGAGTGAATTTGGATGGCTGATCTAATTATCCTTTCCCTTCTTGTGATGCAATGGCCTCTGCTGTCTTGGGCTGTGGAGCTTTAATTAAGATGGTCTTAATTTTAACGGGAGTTGACAGGGTCAGAGAGGAAGGGTTGGGACTTTTATCTGAGGGGAGTGTGTAGCTGGGCCCCCGCACAGCAGCTGCACTGCCCTCCCTACTCCAGCCATTCCTTCATCTGGAAGGGCTGTCCATCAGCTGGGGGGAGCCAGGGGATGGCTTTGGCTCAGATGCCTTCAACATGCTGTTACTGGGTGAAGCAGAGATCCCAGACAGGCACTGGGGCCACCTGCCTGTGGCTTCTGCTGTCCCCAGATTGGAGCTGAGAGATGAAGTGAGCATCCCTGCATTGTTCCTTCTGTTTTAGGAATCGGTGCAGGTGAGAAATGAGTGTCCTTGTGGAGGAGAAGGGCTGCAGGCACAAGCCAGACGTGCCCTCACTGAGTAGGCCGGGCAGGGAGAGGGTCTGCAGCATCCCACCCCACTTGTGGGGCTGGGGCAGCAGCTCCCCCTCTTCACAGCTCCCGGGACTCATTGCACTGAGGCTGCTCCCAGCCTGGCAGAGACGAGCAGTGTTCCCTGGCTTGTACTGAGCAAAGCCTGGTGGCTCGGGGCAGGGGACAGGAGTTGTCCCTGGCTGTATTGGGGGCAGAGGGGGTGCTGGGCTGAGCCGGGGCAGCCAGGCTGTCCCCAAAGCTCCAGTGGCTGTGCTGCTGCTCGCTGGCCCCCAGCTGTGATGTTTGTCGTGGGAAAGGGCAAAACCAGGAGCATCCCCTGGGACAGAGGGGGAAACTGTTCTGTGAGCATATCCGGGGCTGTGTGTCCTACTGAAATGTGGGGAGGGAGCAGAGAGGGAAGTGGGGAAGGGGACAGGATGCCACCTTAAGATGACTGAAAGACCACCTCGATGTGGTTATGTCGGCACTCACCAAGCTGGGGGTTCACCCCCAGCACTGTCCCAGCTCTCTGGGGCCAAGCTGGCAGGGACAGCACTGCTGCCACTTCGTGCCACCCAAGCAGGGGGTGACACGGGGGATGGCAAAGTGCCCTTTGGCCGCCTCCAGCCTGGGACCTCTGGTTTAATGGCACCCCTTGCATCCTTCGATCCTGCCCCTGCTGGGAGGGCTGTGCCAAGGGCATGGAGGGGCTGGCTGTGTTTGGGGCCGCTGCTCTGTGCCTGTCCCTGTCCCCGCTGCCGGCTGCCATGGGCTGGGTGCCGCCAGGCTGCTTTGTCTCGCCCGCCGTCCCGCACGCTTCATTTTTCAGTCTGGTGTGAGACAGTTGCCGTGATTAATGTCACCGGGGCTCTGCGAGCTGAGGACACGGCTGAGCTCGTCTCTCTCCATCGTGGGTGGGTGCTGGTGCTCCCAGCCCCTCTCCCCCATCATCCCCAGCCCGCCTGCCGGCAGTGCTGCTGGGCACCCCCGGCTCTGGAGCCGCTCCAAGGACAGCGCCTGCCTGGCCAGAGATGTTCCCTCCCCAGAGCTCGCTGGCTGCTGTTGGGCCCCAGCCTGCCGCGGCATTTCCCAAGGTTTCTGCCTCTGCTGTGTTTTGTCTGCTCGCAATCAGTGTCTTTTGTTAGTGTCTTCACACAGACGATAAGATCGCTTCCCCTCTGGGCCAGCCCGCAGCACCACGGCCATTGTGTCCCTGAGCGATCCGGGCGCAGCGGGACTCGCCGGGAGCCGCCGCTTCCCCTCGCTGCTGCCTTTGCCAGAGCATCTCTCCGCAGGGAGGTAGGGCAGAGGATGGAGCCTTTTCCTGCCACCCAATTTACCGATTAATTTTTCGGGGGGGACAGCCCGGAGCGTGGGTGTTGGAGGCGTGGGGATGCTGGGCGGTGCAGGTGGCATTTCCAGCGCCGGCAGTGGAGGACGGGCGTGCCGCTCTCTCTCGTAGCGTGATCTGATCCGAGCCGAGGTGTGCAGCCGAGTGTGCTTCATTTTTTAATTGCTTTTGGAGAGGGGAGGATGGGGTTGGCCTCTCCTTGCTGCGGCCTCTGCCCCGGGCGAGTTGCGTGGCTGAGCTCAGCCCTGGCACCCTCCCCTCTGTCCTCCCCTCTGTCTCGGGAGGAATGGAGGCCGGGAAGATCCCAGATGCAGAGCCAGCAGCACACGGAGACAGGTGGGAATGGCAGACAGTGAGCCTGGCTATGGCCGTGCCAGTGGTGTGCTGGTGAGGATGGCAGCCCCGCTGCCAAGCGAGCAGCAGGACTGTGCCAGATGTGCCAGATGTGCCAGGGAGTGCCAGGCTGCTGCCACCTTCAGCCACCAAACAGTCAAATCTCCCAGCGTGAGGCTGATAGTGCATCCATCCACACAGGGACTTGCCCTTCCCCATCAGCAGACCTGGCACCCCACTGCTCCAGCACATGGCTGACCCCAGGCTGAGGCATATTTGGATTTTCCTCGTGGCTTTTTTGTCTCTTTTTGTTCTAATCATTGTTGTGGCCTGGCAGCGTGAGCCCGTGCCACAGCGTGCCCGGGTGGCAGGGGCGCGGGCACCGCGTGTGTACGCGGCACAGCTTTATTTGTATGTGCTGCAGCCTGGAGTTGGGGCTGCAGCTTCCCCCCTCCATCCCGCTGTGCAATCATTACCAGCCAGTATTTGTCAAGTACAAATTACAAACCATTCAACGTCTTAAAGAGCTGTCAGTCAGCTCCCACTCATTATCCTAATCAAATGCACTAAAAATAGTGACAAAACTTATTAGTTGGGGGAAGGGGAGGCCGTGAAAACAAACCTGCGGTGGGGCACGGCCCGGCATACACACACTGGGATATTCCCTTTATATGAGGTGTAAAACCAAGGATGCTGCCCTTGGATGAGGTGTGAGACGTGGGCTCCAGCTGGGACAGGAGCATGTTGGGATACTGAGCCTTGAAGTGGGGTCTGAATCCCCTCTGTGCCGGAACGGGAGCCTCTGCCCAGTGCTGGGTGAGCAGGGCTGGTTGGAGAGAGAATTTCCTTTCTGTAGGAGAAGAAGGAGCAGTTCCTGCAGGAGCAGGGGCTGGGAAAGGGTGGCAAAGCCAGGTGAGAGGCTGCCCTGGCTCTGCAGGGCCATGTCCTGCTCTGCTTTCCACCTGAGGCTCTGCCCCAAGCTGCTGCTGCTGCTGCTGAGAAGGGTCTTCCCATCACGCACAACTGGGACAGAAAACAGTCCTTTTTGAAAAATTTAGCTGAAGTATGCTTTTCTGGATGAGTAAGGCCTTGAGCAGCACAGGTTGCTCCGGTGCCTTGTGCAGGCTTTGTGCGGTACATTTGTCTCGGCCGGTGGGGATGGAGCAGATGACACATCCCGGGGGACCAGGTCTCTGCTTGGTGGCCGGCCATGCCTACCGCGGGTCGGGGCTGTCCGGAGATGGAGCAACAGGGCTGGAAATGCTGGTGTGTCTGGAGGAACTGGCTCTGCTTTTCCCCTGAAAGATCTCTTGCTGGGCTGGGGGTGCCTGTGCTCCCCTTCCACTCTGGGACATGGCTTGGGGCGGCTCCAGCCGCCTCCTCTCCCATCCCCAGTGGGGTTGATGAAGTGGAGCAGGAATCATCCCCTCTTCACACATGAGAGATCAGAGCCGGCAGGTGTGAGCTGCCGGCCCCACGCCGGAGGGATGGCGAGGAGGAGGAGGAGGAGGACGAAGGCAGCCCTGGGCACTGAACCGTGCCGTGGGGAGATGGTGTCGGGGCACGGGGGCTGCCGCGGGTGCTGACACTGCTCTCCTCGCAGGCTGCAGCGGGAGCTGAGCTGAGTCCGCCGGCAGCACCTCCCCAGCCCGCGGCGAGGCTGTAGCCGAAAGCAGCGGTAAGGCACGGCCGGGGAGCGGGGAGCGGGCTGCTGTACCTGCCGGGGACCCGCAGCATCCCCGGCTGCGCTGGCTGCGGGAGCACAGCCCTCCCTGCGTGTTCCCCGAGGCCAGGCCGGCCCAGCTGAGGCCTCGCAAGTCGTGCCGGCGGTGGATGCTGATGTGCCGCTGGTGGATGCTGATGTGCTGGTGGATGCTGATGTGCCGGTGGTGGATGCTGATGTGCCGCTGGTGGATGCTGATGTGCCGCTGGTGGATGCTGATGTGCTGGTGGATGCTGATGTGCTGGTGGATGCTGATGTGCCGGTGGTGGATGCTGATGTGCCGCTGGCGCTGCCCCCCGGGCGGGGAGCGGGGAGCTCCTGCAGGCTGCGACGTGCCCGGGGTGTTAATCCCCGCCGCAGAAAGCTGCCTGCCCGCCGCCCCGCATCGCTCCCAGCCCAGCGCTGGCCGTGCTCCAGCCCTCTGCACAAGCCTTGGGAAGGGGAGAGGGGCGGTGCTGCTGAAAATCGAGGCACTGGCCGGGATGGGGAGCGATGCTGAGCCCCCCGTCCCAGCATTGCCAGCTGTGAAAAGCTCGGCAGCAGGGCGATATCCCTCTGGGCATCAGCCAGGCTGCCCTGGTGGATGTTGGTGGTGCTGAGCATCCCTGCAGCCTGCTGCCTGTGGAAATGCTGTATTTATTAGACATAAATTTATTAGACACATACACAGCATAGCTCCTGGCAATGGGTATTTTTTTCAGTCTGGCTGCTGCCATGCTGTCCCACAGCTCCCAGGTGATGCTGCTGGGGGGTGCTGGAGCCACCAGCTTCCTTCTCTGCCCTTTGACTCCGGGGGGGTTTCATTGGTGACTGTGCCAGAGGCAGGGGGGTCTCTCCCTGGTGCCTCCCGAGGACCTGAGTGCACAGCACATTCCTGCTGTCATTAATCACTCCTTTGCCAGGCTCTTGCACAACCCTGCATTCTCCCAGAGAAATCTGCACCCTTTCCTTTCCAGCTGCCAAGGGGGTGTGGGAGCTGTAAGGGTTTTCTCAGGCCCCTCTCCTCCCTGGGGACAGGTGGAGAGCCACAGGGCTAAAGTCACTTGGTCGTGTTGGCTGAGTTACCTGGGACTCAGGTGTGGGGATGGTGTGAGGCTGCCGGTGCCTCTGGGCAGTTTGGGGTTGCCAGCCTGCATTTTACACTGGCCAGGTTGAAGCCAGAGTGTGCAGGTATTTAGATGCAAAGCAACAGGAGAGCTTGGAGTGGGGCTCTGCATCCCCTTCCTCAGAGAGCTGTGGGCTCATCCTCCTCCTCCTCCTTCTCCATCTTTGGCTCTTCAGCCAAGGTCCTGACAGCTGGATTGGGCCCTGGCAGAGCATCATGTCCCAGTGACCAGCACACCCTGGAAGCTGCACCTCCTGTGCCCACAGGCTCAGAGGTGTGAAGGTGAGGACCCCCCTGCTTTAGGGAAGTGCCTGGAGGATCCCCTGTCCCTTCCCTGTGCTCTACTCCTGGCTAGTCTCTGAACATATTGATTACTCTATACCTTGATTTCCTCAGCACACTGATAAATCCTTTTCTAACTCAGGCTCAGAAAATGTGCTTGCAGGACACTCGTGTCCCCAAAGTGCTGCTAACCCCACCACCCTGGCTGGGGTGTTTTCCTGCCTGGGGAAGTGCTGCTTCCAGGGGAAACTCTGAGCAGCTTTACGCTTGCTCACAGTCCCGTGGGGAGTCACAAGCCACACGATCACAGCTCTGCCATGCTCCCACTTTTCTCCCTGCACTGCCACTGGCATCCTGGGAGCCCCAGCGGGTGCCAGAGCCCCGGGCAGAGGTGAGCAAGGGGCTGGCTGGGGACAGGGAGGTGGGGGCTCCTTGTCATCACTCCTCAGGTCTTGCTCTCCCCTGCAGTTCTGCTTCTACTGCAACAAGCTTTTAAAGTGCATTTTTTTATGGGACAGACTCCTTCCCCCTGGCTGCAGGCTCTGCCTCTGGATTGCCAGAAGTGACCATTTGCAAGTCACTTACCTGATCCTTATGTGCTCTGTGACCCCCAAAGCCTGGCACAGCTATGGGTGGACTGAGTCCTGTGGTAGATAGAGGCATGGTCCCTCCTCATCACCTGCATCCACAGGAGGAAGGACAGCTCTGCTGCCCACTGGAGTGGCTGCTGGGGTCATACCCAGCACAAAAAAATCAGTTTATTACGTTTCCCAAACCATGTCAGGGTCTGAGCCTGCCAGCAGGGTCACACAAGGACACTGCTGGTCCTCTGTGCAGTGTGGGAGCTGGAAAACAGTAGATGGAAATTGTGTCTTTTGGGAAATAAGCCCTGATCGTCAGTCAAAGCCCTCGCTGTGGGAGGGGAGCTGAGGGGGACAGGGGGCAGCTTGTCCCTGGCACCCCTAAGCTTTCCCACAGCAAGAGCCAAGGGCTTCACTGGGGCTGTGCAGGCTGCTGGGGCTGCCCATGGCTCTGGGGGGCTTGGCCCGAGCTTCTCTCCAAAGCTAGAAAAATCCTCTGCTGGATGAGGCTGAGCCCTCCCCAAGCCTCACAGATGGCTGCATCCAGGTCTGCCCTGTGGGCAGCAGCTGCCTCCTCTGCTGCTTCCCTGCTTGTTTTCTTATCAGAGAAACTCTCCTCCCTGCTTGTCTCCACCTCCCTTTTCCCTCCTGCCATGCGTGATCTAGCCTAAATATTTCCTTCCATAGCTTCAGGACACTGCTGGGTATCCTGCCATCTTTGGAGACTGCAAATAATTCCCTGCCTTCATTTGTGTCATTACCTTGAAGGTATTTATAGAGTGTGGTCTTGAGTGGAAAGGAAGGCTATATATAAACTATCTGACTATATATAAAGGAGAGATCCCTTGGTCCTTAGCTGCAAACTGCCTGAAACTGCACCTAATTTAAAGTTTTATTCTGTTGGCTGCATGTTTTGGACTTCAAAGGTTTGTCTTCAGTACTTAAATCCCCATCCCGGTAGAAACTCGTGTAGGAGGAAGCATGTGGGGACTGAGTTGTGTCCCATGGCAGATGCCTGGCCCCAGAGCTGCCACAGTCTCAGCACAGGTCCAGGTTCCATGCTCAGCAGCTTTGCTCTGCGCTCCCACAGCTCAGCCAGCTTCCCTCTGCTCCCAGAGCACGTCCTGGCAGTTTCACTGGCTGCTGCAGCCACACAGGAGGTGTCTTGGTGTTAATGAGGGGCGATGGTATCTGAGGGCAAGGGCAGGATGGCCAGACTGCCCGGCAGCTGCTGCTTGAACAGACTCCAGAGGTTGTTTCATTTCCTGGTGGGCAGGCATCTGTCACTAGAGCCCTGGGAAACAACTCCTTATTAACAATAATAACTACAATAATAATAATAATAATAATAATAATAATAATAATAATAATAATAATAATAAAAGCCCTCTGTATGTCTGTGTGTCCTCCAGCCTGGGACCATGGGGAGCAGCAAGAGCAAGCCCAAAGACCCGAGCCAGCGCCGGCGCAGCCTGGAGCCCGCGGAAAACACCCACCATGGGGGGTACCCAGCCTCGCAGACACCCAGCAAGGCGGCTGCTCCCGACGCCCACCGCACTCCCAGCCGCTCCTTCGGGACCATGGCTGCTGAATCCAAGCTCTTTGGAGGCTTCAACACCTCGGACACGGTCACCTCGCCGCAGCGTGCCGGGGCGCTGGCTGGTCCGTGTGCGCTGGGCTCAGAGGGGTGGGGAGGCTCCCGGGCTGGTCGTGGTGGGTTTGTGTCCAGCTCCTTGGGGTCTCGGGCTTTTGGGGGACTCTGGGCTCGGGGAAGAAGCAGGTCTGTGTTATCAGGCAGTGGGAGGGGATGTCCCTGGGGAGGGGACCCGGCACTGTTCCGTGGTGGCAGCTGTGCCCGTCCTGAGTGCTGTTTGTCACAGGGGGAGTCACCACCTTCGTAGCCCTCTACGACTACGAGTCCCGGACTGAAACAGACTTGTCCTTCAAGAAAGGAGAGCGCCTGCAAATCGTCAACAACACGTGAGTGTCCCTGTCCCTGCAGCCCAGCCCACATGCTGAGCTGTCACCTCTGTCCCTCCCGTGGAACCCCCAGCCCAGCCCGGCAGGACCAGCTGTCCCAGGGATGGGAGCCCAGAGAGATGTGCCAAAATGCACACGGTGACTTGTCCAAGGACACTGACACTGAAAGCTGTCCTTTACCTGATTCCTCATCCTCCTGGCCCTGCTGCTGGTCACTATGGCCTCACAGCCTTGTCACCAAGCCACGTCCTCTCTTTGCTGGCCGTTCTGTGCCCTCCAACACAGAGCCATGTCCCCACCAGTCCCATCCCCATCCATGCTCGGCTCCCTCTCGTTAGCCTGGACACATCTCTCAGCTTCATGGGTGCTTTTCCCTGTGCTTGCACACTGTCTCTGGTCTCACGTTCTCTCTTGACTCTTCTTTCTCTCCCTCCATGCTGTCGTTTAGGAGAAAAGTGGATGTCAGGTGTGTATTGCACATTCTTACTGTTATTATAAATGACCTAAATGATCAAAGCCTGTCTGCTTCCCACTCTAAAGGCAGGTTGGATGGAGCAGGGCTGGGAGGAGATGGTTTCCAGATGGTTTTGTGGTTGGTTGCATTTGTCCTCTCTGAGTGACCAGAATGGAGCAGGGAGTCCCTTCCCATGCTGGGGAAATGTTCCATCCAGAGCTGTGTCTGCACCTGGGAGCTCTGAACCCATCCCCTTTCCTTGTCCGTGTGTGGCTCCCCTCTGCACTCTCTTTCCAGTTGGCTCTTCACTCCCCCCTGCCCTTTGCATTTTTCTTTTGCTTTTTTTTAATCTTTACTTTTATATTTCATGAGTGGCTCTGGTGATTCAAGTATTTCCTTAGGTTTGCTCCTCATCCTGGTCACCACAGCACATCCATCACGTGCAAGGCAGCATGGCCAGCTGGAAGATGCTCCTAAAAATGATCCTGTATTAACCCCATGTGTGGTCTGTCCTGACAGGAGGCACACACAGTCCAGAGCCTGGCTGGCAGAGCCAATGTCCCCAGTGTCCCCAGCTATGGAGCTGCCACAAGGTCCCGAGGGTGTGCAGCTCCTGCTCCCCCTCCACTGCTGCCTTCCAACATGGGCACCCAAAACAGCAAAGTCAAAGGGTGGAAAGATGAGGGAACATCCCAGGAGTGAAGTTTCTCCTGCAGTGCTTGGGCAATGTGGCACAAACATGTTTTCAATCTGATCCTTGTTCTCGTTGTTTCAATGCTGTTTGTTAATGGTGATTTGTTTCATCTATGAAGTCTGGGATGTGCAGCGTTTCAATGTTGTGGAAAAAGCCTGGATTTGGGAGTTTTGGTGTTTCTTACTTTCAGTCTTAGCAGTGTGTGAGCTCCATGCTTGAGTTCTGCAGCTGTTGCAAAGTGAGCTCTGCCCATGGGGATCCAGATCAGGCCATGTATGAGGGGTTTTTCTTTACGCCTTTTATCAATTCTGGGGTTTCCACACTTTTTTTTTCCTCTACTGCTACTTGTCAAGGGCTCAGTCAGAGGGAAGGCTCAGTCTGTGATGGGCTCTGCAGCATCCTGAGGAGAAAAAGAGCTTTTTTTGGTGATGCAGTCCTTTGGTGGAGAGTGCAGGATGCAGCTGCCAACCTTCCCAGTGTCTGTATGGGTGAGATGTCCACAGGGAGAGAGGTGGTGGAGGAAGCTGGACAGTTTGTGCAGTGCTCAGGGGTGAATCACTCTTCTCAATGACCTCCCAGAGATGCTCATACAGTCTGGGAACAGCTCAGCTGCTGCACTTTGGGGACAGCAACAGACAGATGTGTGATGTCCCCTTCCTCTGGTCTCCCTGGCAGGACAGTCAGTGCCCTGGAGCTGCAGGGAGGGCACTTGGGTTCAGTCCAGGAAGGGCTGGTGGGTGCTGGGCACAGCAGGAGCCCATGGCCAGGGTGACTTTGCAGGGTGGCACCAGGTTTTGGCTGCTCTGACAGGGCTGGGGCTGCTCAGGGTGAGACAAGAAGCCTCCACATTGCTCACCTCCCTGCTCTGGGTCATCCTACCAATCCACCCAGTGTAGAAAAGCTCTTGTGGTACCATTTCCAGTAGGAAGAAGTCTCCTCCCAGTCAGCAGGCAGCCAGCTGGAATGTGGCGGGATATTTTGGGTAAGACTGTGCAGGGAATTGTTGAAATGCTTTGTTTTGATGATGATGATTATTATTATTTTTTTCCCCACTGAGACATTTTTGGAATAGTTTGTTTTGCTGAATTCCCAGCTTGCAGCCTTGCAGCCCAAGCTGGAATAAAGCCACAAGTCAAAAACTGGGCATTTTTCAAGCAGATGTTTACTCTGGTCCTGTGGGAAAGGAGCCCAACCAGCCTCCTGTCCCTTCAGAGCCACCTCAGTGAAGGTGACTGGACAACAGCCCTGGCTGAGGAGCACAAGCTGCCTACCGAGAGATGTGCTGGGGCTGGAAGAAGCTAAAATGTCATGCAGGGCTGCTGTGAGGCTGTTCCAGGGGCAGAGCCCAGCTCTATGAGTAGGAAGAGGTACCTGGAAGGTCCCCACCATCCCCACCACACTGACAGCATTGCAGGGGGCTGTGGGCCATGGCTGGGTTGTGCCAGTGCTTTGAAGCATCACTGGTTTAGCTGGGAAAAGCACAGGTCACAAGCAGCTGGTGAGTCTGGAGCAAGGATGGAGGTTTACACGTCTGCAGGGTCAGGGATGGGTCTGGATGTGGTTTGGTGATCCTTGTAGTGGTGAGTGAGGTTGTTGGTGTTTTTTCTGTAGCATGTTTGCGGAGATTGTCCTGCCAAGTTCTTGTATCCTTACGGTGCCGTTCCCACGAATCTGCACTTTTCCCGTAGCCTCGTCTCCCTTGTGGTCAGGATGAATTCTGTGACTGTCTTTGATGGGCAAGAAGATGCAGGTGGTGGGAGGAAAAGCCCTGCTGTCTGCAGGAAGGGGAAGCCACCTCCTGCCGTCCTCTTGTTGTTCTCTGTTTGTTGTCCTTTCCAGCCCTGTCCGGAGTGGGAGCCGGAGGGAAGGAGGGCAGAGCACCCTCCAGCTCCTGGGGGCACACCTGGGGCCGCTGTGCCTGGGGCAGGAGGACAGATGGTGGCTCAGCCACGGGTTTTTAGGGACAAGGAGCCTCACTCGTGGCTGTGCCCTCGCTGGGGCAGCAGGAGGCTCCTGGCTGGGGCCACAGCCTTTCAGGGGCCGTGAATGGGACACCCGGGCTGGACAGATCCCACTGCAGCCAGGCTGGACACCACGGATGGGCAGGGCTCAGCCCCTGCCCAAACCTCAGCCCTGTCCTGCAGCTTTTCTGCAGCCTGTGTTTAACTAACTCCCTTGGGTTTTCCTGGTTCTTTTCCATTGCTGCCATCGTTCTGTCGCTTCTCCACGTTTCCTGTCCCTCCCTTTGCCTGCTGCTCCCTGCTGCCAGGACCCCCAGAGTCTCCCAGCCTCCAGCCAGATACCCTTCCCATTCAGGTGGCTCCAAGTTATTTTGGCTTGCTGGCTGCCCTGCCTGGCTCAGGTTTAAAGCTTTCTGTACGTGGATGGGTGGTCCCAGTAACGAGAGCTCACCCAGACAGAGCCATGGGCAGGGGCTGGCAGCAGGAGCACTCCTGGCTGGGGTCTGGCTGTGGGGCTGGGGGCTGTGGGGCTGCACCTTTTCCCCGTGGGGCTCTGTGCTGGCTCATCCTCCCCCGGTGCCTGTGGGCGGGCGAGGGGCTGGCTGGGGGACTCCTGGCTTCACACTGAGTGTGTTTTGGTTCTCTTGCAGGGAAGGTGACTGGTGGCTGGCTCATTCCCTCACTACAGGACAGACGGGCTACATCCCCAGTAACTATGTCGCGCCCTCAGACTCCATCCAGGCTGAAGAGTAATTGCCATCTTTTAGACAGTTTATAGACAAGTGATAGCAAACACACCCTGAGTGCTCCCCCTCCACCCCTGCCCTGCTCCTGGGAGAAGCCTCCAAGCCCTCTGGATTTTTCCTTTTTGTTAGTTTTCCCCTTTGAATGTCCAAACTAGCCTTTCTTTAGAGCCATAAATGCGGTGCTGCAGCGTGCTTGCATGGTGGAGGGGTGAGTGGTGGCATAGCAGGGCCGTGGATGCTTTTGGTCTGGTTTTGATGGAGAGCCTGGAGAAGAGAAGGCTCCAGGGACATCTCATTGCAGCCTTCCAGAACTTAAAGGGGATTCTAAACAAGAGAGAGACTTTTTACATGGGCAGAAAGGCCTGTGAAAAGACAAGGAGGAATGTTTTTAAACTAAAAGAGGAGAGATTTAGAGTAGATGTTAGGAAAAAATCCTTCACCCTGTGGATGGTGAGACACTGGCACAGGTTGCCCAGAGAAGCTGTGGCTGCCCCATCCCTGTGAGTGTTCAAGGTGAAAGTGTGGCAGGAAGGTTCCAGCCCTGATGGCAGAGAGGTGATGCCCAGCCCAGGCTGTTTGTGGCACACAGCGAGGTGCCCGAGCCCAGACACAGCCCCTGGTCTCCCAAACCTGCAGTGGGTGGGCCAGGGCTGAGCCCCCTGCTTGGGCAGGCAGTGGAGGGGGGTAGTGCCAGGTGCTGAGCCTCTGCCTTTCTCCTGCAGGTGGTATTTTGGGAAGATCACTCGCCGGGAGTCCGAGCGGCTGCTGCTCAACCCCGAAAACCCCCGAGGGACCTTCCTGGTCCGGGAGAGCGAGACCACGAAAGGTGAGCAGGGCTGGGGGGATTGCTGGCCTGGAGGAGACCCTCTCTGGGGGGTGTGGGGGTACCCTGAGTCCCCTCAGTCTCTCCTGCTGGTGCTGATCTCCAGGGAGCCAATGCTGATGTTGCCATCACATCACCAGTGGCATGTCTGTGCCAAATGCTCTGTTACACCACTGAGCCCGTGGGCTGCAGGGATGTGGCCACTTCTCTCCCACCACTGCCTACCCAGTGAGTGCCCTTCACAGAGCTGGTTCAGCTCATGGCAGGGTGGAAGGCAGGGGTCTCACCAACTCTGGCAAGACCACCAGGCAGGAAAGTCTCTGGTTTTTTTGTTGTTGATTTATTTGGTTGGGTTTTGGTATACCCCCAGCTAGATGTTTTTTTGGTTTTCCCCTTGGTCCCTGTATGGTGACAAGACCTTGAACATGTGTTTCCTGGACAGCCAGGCTGAGGGAATGATGAATTTAGTCCTTTCAAGTCTGACACTTCTAAAAGTGTGAGTTGTGATCTTTGAGGTCTGACTGCATCTGAGGATGATGTTTCTTACCTGGTTTAGTTTGGCTCCAAAGGCACCTTTGGGAAAAGCCCCTTGACATCCCTTTCTGGTTTTATGCCTTGAACTTAGTTGTTTTATTCTGATGGAAGCAGCTTCTTCAAGCAGCAGCATAAATCTTCCCCTCTGCTATCTGCGGCCCAGCAACACCATGTTGTTCTCATGTGGGCAGAGCAGAGCCAAGCTCCTGAAGCAATGCCTGTGGTGGGATTTATGCAGGAGGGAATTGGGCCCAGCAGCCCCGTAGCTCCTCTCTGAGACACTGAGGAGTTGTTGGTCAGCAGTTCCCCCCAGCCTGGCTCTGCCTGCTCCTCTGCCCCTGTTAGCACATCCCATAGGATGGCTGCTGGCAGAGCTGCTGTGCAAGCAGAGGGCAGCTGGAGGTTGTGATGGTGTGGCATGGCTGTAGCTGGGGGATTTGTGCCATTCCTCCCTGGCAGCTGGTGCAGCCAGGATCCGCTCCTCTTCCTCTGCTTTTGGGTGAAGGCAGCACCTCCGTGCCCAGTCCTGCCTCGGCCATGCTCCTCCACAGTGGGACCCCATGGGGAGCACCCATCCCTGGCACATCTCCCACAGTTCCTCTGTCCTGCCCACAGGTGCCTATTGCCTCTCTGTGTCCGACTTTGACAACGCCAAGGGGCTCAACGTGAAGCACTACAAGATCCGCAAGCTGGACAGTGGCGGCTTCTACATCACCTCCCGCACCCAGTTCAACAGCCTGCAGCAGCTGGTGGCCTACTACTCCAGTGGGTAGCCATGTGGGTCCCCTTGGGGTCTGGGTGGCACCCTGGGTGCTGTCCCTGCCCTCGCTGCAGGGCGGGTGCTGCTGGGAAGTCTTTGCTATGCTGGGGGACACCAAACCAGCTGTGTGGGACTGTGGTGAAAAGCTGGGTTTTAGGGCAGAGGGTGAGGGTTTGAGTATGGGTCCCCAAGGTGTTTACAGGAAAGGTGTGGAGTAAAGACATGCCTAAGTACCCATGTGTCACCCTGCTGTTGTCCCTTCCTGTGCCAGAACATGCTGATGGCTTGTGCCACCGTCTCACCAACATCTGCCCCACGTCCAAGCCCCAGACCCAAGGCCTTGCCAAGGATGCCTGGGAAATCCCCCGGGAATCGCTGCGGCTGGAGGTCAAGCTGGGACAGGGCTGCTTCGGAGAGGTGTGGATGGGTAAGGATCATTCCCACCCTGCTGTCCCCTCTGTGTCACCACCTGCATCTGTCCCCAGCCATCTGCAGATGCCTGGAGCCTGTGGTGGGGTGGGAGAGCAGGGGAGGGACACAGCCCCCTGACCCTTAAGCGTGTCCTGAGCAGCATGTCCTGTGCCACAGGGACCTGGAATGGCACCACCCGGGTGGCCATCAAGACACTGAAGCCTGGCACCATGTCCCCAGAGGCTTTCCTGCAGGAAGCCCAGGTCATGAAGAAGCTCCGACACGAGAAGCTGGTTCAGCTCTACGCTGTGGTGTCAGAGGAGCCCATTTACATCGTCACCGAGTACATGAGCAAGGGTGAGCACGGGAGGGACACCGAGGGGGCAGCTGAGGGGCTCTGCTCCTCCAGATTGCTCTGACCATGGTCTTCCTCACAGGGAGCCTCCTGGACTTCCTGAAGGGTGAGATGGGCAAGTACCTGCGGCTGCCCCAGCTTGTGGATATGGCTGCTCAGGTGGGTTTGCACATCCCTGGGCCTCTCTCATTCTTTGTGGGGACACTGGCTGCCTGAGCCCCTCACTGGGCTGTGGTGGCTGTCACTGGTCAGGCAGGTCACTGGGGTGCTCTGCAGCCTCGCTTGGATGGGTGTCACAGTTGGGTCTCAGCTCAGAGCAGGGTTGCACTCTGGGACCATCACTTTGCCCATTCCTGTTGGTGCCAGCTCTCCCTGGCCAGCAAACCCAAGTCTGTGTGGCATTTCTTGAGCAGCTGGTGTTTCCCACACCTCAGCTGGGTTCTGCTGCAGGCCTGATCCCTTTAGTGGTGCCAGGCTGTCCCCGGGGACCCTTGTGTCATCCTGTGAGCCACAGTGCCCCACGTGCTGGTCCCCACAGATCGCATCTGGCATGGCCTATGTGGAGAGGATGAACTACGTCCACCGGGACCTACGGGCAGCAAACATCCTGGTGGGGGAGAACCTGGTGTGCAAAGTGGCTGATTTTGGCTTGGCCCGACTCATCGAGGACAACGAGTACACGGCTCGGCAAGGTGAGTGCCCAGGGCTGCTGGCACCAGAGCAGTGGCCACTGGTCCCCACAGTGTGTTGTGCCTGGAGCCAGCATGTGGCTCTGGTTGCACGGGGGTCCTGGAGGCACCTCCTCACCCTGCCTCTCCATCCAGGTGCAAAGTTCCCCATCAAGTGGACGGCCCCTGAAGCAGCTCTGTACGGCAGGTTTACCATCAAGTCAGACGTCTGGTCCTTTGGCATCCTCTTGACCGAGCTGACCACCAAGGGCAGAGTGCCATACCCAGGTGAGGGCTGGCACTTGCTGGCAGAGGCCCCGTCCCCATTGTGGTGCCCAACACCAGCTGTCCATGCCCTGTGCTTGCCCCTGAGCTGCCTCTTCCCAGGTCGGATCCTGCCCCACTGGGGTGAGCAGATATTGGCAAGGATGCAGCGTCCCAGCCACCCTGTCCCACTCTAGTCCCTGAGCAAGGTGACAGGGACAAAGTGCTGCTAGGCCAGGGGTCCCTCTCTCCCTGGGTCACTGGGATTGCCCCTCAGGCCTGTCCTGGCACAAGACCCTTGGTGTCCCCTCTGGGACAGGCACGGTGCAGGACTGGCCCGGCTCTGATCAGTGCCATGTCTCCTCTGGCCGCACGCAGGAATGGTGAACCGGGAGGTGCTGGACCAGGTGGAGCGGGGGTACCGCATGCCCTGCCCGCCCGAGTGCCCCGAGTCCCTGCACGACCTCATGTGCCAGTGCTGGCGGAAGGACCCGGAGGAGAGACCCACCTTCGAGTACCTGCAGGCTTTCCTGGAGGACTACTTCACCTCGACAGAGCCCCAGTACCAGCCTGGAGAGAACCTATAGACGTGGGGCTCCTCCTGGCACCAGGGACGCTGCTGTCCTCACCGCGAGGCGCCGAGGGTTGGCCTCCCCACTGAGGGGCTGTGTTTGTGGAGCAGCCCTGGAGCAGGACAGGGCATTATCTCCAGATGCAGCCAGGGGAGCCCCCATCGCTCATTAAGACTTCTGGCCCGTGTTTAACGAAGTGACGCCATTCTGCTGGCGAGAGGAGCCTGTGGGAACCAACAGAGCCAGCTCAGGACGGCAAGCAGAGCATCTCCTGCCAAGAGACCTGGGTTTTGGGAGACTTTTTTCCCCCACAGCTCTGGGGTGAGCCAGGAGGAATTGGGGGACAGCCATCACCCCACCTCAGACACATGGTCCCAGTCTCCTGCAACCCCTTTATAAATCAGCACAAATTTCCCTGTCCCTTCACCCTCCCTACCATCTCCCTCTAGGCTCTGGCTCTCCTGAGGCTGCTGGCAGGGGTGTTTTGCCACAGGGGTGTCACAATTCCAGGCTGGCTTGAATGGGGTGATGTGCCAGGGTGGTGGTGGCAGTATGGGATGACAGCAGAACTCTGGTGGTCCCTATGGCCTCACCATGACCTTAACAGCTGGTGGGTTCTGGGACTCTGAAATGTGACATCTCTAGGCTCTGGTGACCAACATTTTCCCATCAGAGCACTCGGGCACATAATCAAATCTTCCAGCTATGTCTGTTCCCCCAAGGGAAACATCTCACCTCTCTGGGGAGCAGGACTGGGGATGCCAGCAGAGATCTCACCCTGCTGAGCTTTCTCCCACCACATGCTCCAGGTCTTCCAGCCAGACCCTTGGGAAGTACCTCCAAGCCACCCTCCCCAGTTCTGCCACCAGCTTTCCCACCAGCAGAGTCCCCTGGGCTGGCCCTGCCACCAAATCCAGTGCCACTGTGGTGCTTGGGTGCACGGCCCATGTAGCTGTTCTGGGTGTGGGAATGTTTTGGAGGAAGTACTCGACTTTCACAGATGGTTTTGTCCACCTGGTATGTTTTTAGCTGCCTTCCCTCTACCCACAGTGTCCCAGCTTCCAGGCAGCAGTCCCCATGCAGCATCCCAGCCACATACCCCCATCTGGAAGTGCTGTGCCACATTTGCATCCTCATCTCCCCTCTGCTTGTTCCCAAAGGCCTCAGCTGTGTCTCAGCTCTGGTGGCTATTCCTGCTTAGCTTTGTCCCACACACATCCCGTGGGGCTGATCCCTGGCCTCGGCAGGGCAACACTCATTCCCTGTCCTCTCCCACCCAGCACCTGCTTGTACATAACCCCTGAGTGATCCCTGCACCATCCCAGACCTTGACTTCATTGCATGTGTCAGTTTTCCCTCTCCTGTGGCTGTACCCAGCTGGAAACCTTTCACCATGGTGGTTCACAAAGCTTCACTCCTTCACCTCCTGGGTCCCAGAGACCCCTGCTCAGAGAGACCTGGGGGTCTTTGGATGCTCTCCTGGAGCACGGTGGGTTGGGGGCTCGGGGGATGCTGTGGGGCAGGAGTGCTGGAGGGAAGGACCCAGAGAGGGGAGCCAGTGGCTGTGTCCTCCTCTCAGTCCTCAGGCAATGGGCTTTCTGTGCCTCCCCATCACCTTTGGGACAGTTTGCCTCTGGCACAGCCTCCTTGCAGACCCAGCTCACCCCTCAGCAGCCCCTGCCATAGTGCCAGTGTCCTAGAAAAGCTGGGTGGGAGCCAAACATGGGCAGGAGGTGGCCAAAACCCCTGCCCCAGATCTCCACCAGAGCAGGACCCGGGTAAGCCACTGCCTGTCACTCACCCACTCCCACAGTGCCCTGGTGTAGTTTGACCCAGCCACTTATTTATGAACCAAGTACATGGTTGGTTGTTTGGTGGCTCCTTTTTTAATGAGTAAAACATTTAAAATCAGTTTGAACAGGTTCTTCAGCAGTATGGAGAGATCATGCTGGCTTGAAGAGCATCGGCTGGTTTAATGGATTTTTTTAAAAATCGTTTTGGGAGTAGAGCTTTTTCTCCCTCCCTCCCCTCATAGCAAGTCTGCTGTGTTGGCATTTCTGCCTGGGCAGGAACTCCCTAAACCTCAGTGTTCTGGGTCTTCCCATGTTTTCAGCCTTTAGGGATGGGCAGCTGCCACAAACGCCCTGTCCCCTGGTGGCTGTTCCAAGGGGTGGCTTGTGCCATAGCTCTGCCTGAATTATACAAATCCCTATCCTTGGGAGAAACCTTTTCCAACTGTAACATGTAGAAGCCAGATTTGGTCTGGAAGCTGGGGATAGAGAAGGCAGGTACACATGTTAAGGCCTTTGGTTGTCCATGCACCTGCAGGGCCTTGGGTGCAGCAGGACAGGAAGGGCTTTACCTGACAAGAGCGGCCTCCTGCTCTTTCCAGAGGGCAGCAGGTGCAAGGAGCACCCCGGGATGGCTTAATTCCCCAAGGCTTTCAGAAGATCTGGTGAAGGAGATGTGCTGGGGACACTTCAGGGCAGAAGGCAATCCCAGAAAAGCCCTCCTCCACGGGGCTGTGTGTCCACATGTCTGTGTGTCCATCTGTGTTTCCATATGGTGGGACCCAGTGTCACGGGACTTGCCACCACAGCCAGCATGACCTGGAGGCCCTGGGAATTCAGAGCTTCCCCTCCATCATCATTCTGTCTGCCAGTTTACTTTTTAAGCCAATAAACTCCGGAGGGGAGACTCCACCTAAGGATGCTCTTTGGCTTCCTGGGGTCCATAAAACCCTACAAGTCGTTCTCCTCTGCTGTTACAATTTTTTTACACAGTCTTTTGTAAGATCTCCAACTGACTATGCAGAGAACATGTAGATCTGTGTCTCTCTCCCCAGCTCCCTTCACTTGCCTTTTTCGGTGTCTAAGTAAAATATTTAGCTTTTTTTCTTTTTTTTTTCTTTTTTTTTTTTTTTTTTTTTTTTTTTTTTTTTTTTTTTTTTTTGGATAATAATAAAACTTTGGAAAAAACCTGAAAAGGTCCAGCTTTGTGGGTGGTGGGGGGGGTGGAGATGCTTTGAAACTCTTAACGTTGATGTAAATACTTTGCTATTTGATAATTAAATACAAACAGACCTCACAAAAAGAAGTGTAGTTTGTGTATGAGAGGACTTGTTAGCTCCTTAGCATTCCTGTTAGAGGAGCTGATGCTGCCTGGAGCATGTGCAGTATCCATGTGAAGCTCCTGGTGCTTCAGACACTTATTTTGGAAGATGCTTCTGGGGTCTGGTGGGGCTTCTGTGCTGCTGGAGCCATTCCCCAGACGGGCTTGTGGTTCAGCACAGGATCAGGGCCATGTCTGGCATCTCCAGCAGTCCTGGAGGAAAAGCAAGAGACACTCATTGCAGTCAGGCCCTGGGGGTGTTCCCTGTGCCCCCAGACTGGGACACGCTGCCACAGCGGGACTCTGCCATTGTGTGGGCAGGGCAGGGGTGCTGCTGGTGCTGCCAGAACCCAGGCACGGTGTCCCTGAGTGAAGCCAGCCAGGCTGGGCTGGGGGGAACAGGACAGGGGCAGCCTCCCTTCAGCAGAATCTGCTTTATCGGCAGCTCTAAGAAACAAGCCTGCTGTGTTAAGGTAATTAGTGGGTGCTGATTGGGATCTCTCACTCGGGTGATTAAGTAATTGCATATAGCACAGCGCTGGGTGTAGGGGGTTTTCTAAATTCAGAGTGGATGCTGCTGCTGCTCCTTCACCACTACCATCGTCATCATCACAGTCTGGGGTGGCTTTAGTGCCCCAAGCCCCCCAGTCGGGCTGCTCCCTCTTCTTCAGACTGGTGACTCAGTTTTATCACCTTAAAAGTTTAATGCTTTTATGTTTTGTTTGTCTTTAAAACAATTAAGAGATTGAGGGATTATCTCTTGTGTGCAGGTCCCTTGGTGCAATGCGTGGGCTGCAGGTGGGCCAGCGAGGTCACCCCAGGAGGGAAGCTGAGGCCAGAGCTCCTCCAGCCCTCAGATCTGCACCTTGGTGTTGCTGTTTGAGAATGGGATGGCCATGGGGGGCGAAATGGAGGAGGAGGTGGGTGCTGGGAGAGGCCAGAGTGCTGCTGTCCAGCCTGACCTCTGGGGAAGTGCAGAGGAACTGAGGTGGTTTTTGTACAGGGGATGAGGGGACTGGATTTAGTAGTTCCAAGCCCTGCCTATGGCACTGTTTGCTTCTTCCTCTCCCTGTCTTGTCCTCAGCCTCAGTGGCAGCTGAGGCATCTTAAAAGGGTATTAGGGTGGGGCAGTGGCTGCCCCTGCACGGCTTTAGTGAGGAGGTAAGGGTCCTGTGCTGTGCAGTTTGTGTTGGCAATGGGCTCTAAAACAGCAAGGAGGAGTTGTTGTTCGACTTGAACATCCCCTTCACTTACCCAAAGCTCAGTGGCAGCACTCCCCAAGAACATGGAGTCCTGACTCCTACAGGATAAATGCTTTTGAATACACAGAGTCAGCCCTGAACTGTAAATCCTGAGTTGTGCTGAGGGTCTGGGGTCTCTCCCACAGCCTAAATGCAGCAGAAGGTCTCCTGGGGCAGGAGCAGGGTGTTGTATGTTAAACGGTTGGCTCACAGCAGGACTGTCCCCCTGTTCAGGCTCTCAGGTCTTGCTGACAGTGCCACCAGAGCACCCAGTGCCTTTTATTCACTGGTAACAAGGGATGGACAGGAGGCTGCCAACATGTGTTCACTCAGAGGGCGCAGCTTGTTGTCCCTTGGATCTCATCCTCTCCAGCAGCAAGTCAGGGTGGCACCTGAGCCATCTTGTCCTCCCTTGCCCTGCTACAAGGATTTGTCTTTGCTGTTAGAGTAGCAAAACCCTCTTGCCAAGGGTTAATCTTCAGGCTTTGGAGGGGAGGGCTAAAGTCCTTACCTGACTGCAGCTTACCTCCCACGGCTGGGAAACCACCTGGTGCCAGAGAAAAGCTGCAGGGCAGGGCTTCCTGTGACCCTGAGCGATGTTTGTGATTTGCCTGGCTCAGGAGATTGGCTGGACTAGACTGGCTGACAGCATGAGGGGACAAGGGGACTGTGCCTCCAGATTTGGCTGCCTCCCTGAGCCCACTGGTCAGTGCTTCCAGCCCAAATAGTTCCTCCATGGGATCAACCTCTTACCTCCGGCTGCTGCTGTTTGTAAGGCCACGTTGTGGGCTTGTCCCAGGGTGAGCAGGAAGAGAGTCCAGCCAGGAGGGACTAATCACTTGGCAAGATCCCTGGATGAGAGGCAGATACTGGGAGAGCAGGCTAATTCCTACCTGCACCTCGAGAGTGCTGGGGAGCTCAACTGCTGAGTGTCAGATCCTAAGATGAGGCATTATCATGGATATCAGCCAGATCTAAAGCTTCCAAAAAAAAGGCTAACTTTGTGCTTTCCAGCTGCTCATCCTGGGGATGCTCCCTCTACCTGAGAAGGGTTGAGGAGTATGAAAAGCCCCTGGACCCTAAGGCTGTACTGAGGAGTCCAAGGACTGCCTGAGCCAAGCTGCATTTGTTTCTAAGGATTAGAACCTGGGCTGGCTTTTGTTTTTTTTTTTCCTTTATTGACCCTGCTGTGTCACTGATCTGTTATGTGACCTAGAAAAGAAAATTATCTCTCCCTCATACAGAAAGACAAAGGAACAGCTTAAGGCTCCAGCTCCCTGTACCCAGGGAGCATCAGGCAGATGGACACTAATTCAGCAAGGTGATGAGACTCACTTGGTGCCAAAGTATCAAGTGACACTTGCGGGCAGTGTCCAGGCTCAGTGGGGCCTGGCGCAACGCAGTGGCTGTGTTCTAAACCTCACTGCTTTGAGCCACTGGTGCAGCTGTCCATCTGTGCAGTCCCCACACAGAGACCCCGTGGTGCCCCCAGGATACCCAGGGACAGAGCTACCCCACTGTTCTGCCAGAGAAGGGACAAACATCTTGTGTGAGCAATTTTCCATGTAGCTGGCAAATGCCTGGCTGAGCACTCTGGCTGTGTCTGTCCAGCCCCATCTGTGGTTCACAGGCAGGGAAGCTGTGATGCTGCTGCTCAGAAACCATCGGGTTGGACCTGTTCTGCAGTCACAGGCATGTTTTTCACAGTCTCTTTATGGAGAAGGATGAGCCAGGCATTAGCATGGGATGTGAGACTTGGTTGGGTTCCTCCTTCTGCCCGAGGCTTTCTGTCTGACCATGACAAAGTTGCTTTACTTCTCTATCTTTACAAAGAAGATAGTATCTCAGGGCTCTAAAGAGGGCAAGAGTGTGCTGGGGAGGCATGTGTGCATATCAAAGAGGGCTCCTTTTCTGCAGTAGGGGTGGGAGGCTTCTTACCCCATTGAAAGCTGTCCTGCAGCCTCCCTCTTTTGAAGTGCTTTTTGGAGCTGGGTTTCATACAAGACAAGAGCCCGCAGCTGTAACCTTGTACAGGCTGTACCTGTAACCTGTACCTTGTACATCTTGAACCCTACACACAAAGCCAAGGCTTACTCTCATCCAAACGGTTGTCTGGATTTGTGGCTAGCATTTATTTAAATTGCTGTGAAGCACAACTTGGCTAGTGAGCAACAGAAGTGTTCCCTTGACAGAACAGAGAGCATTAGCTTAAATACATTGAAACTTAAAAGTTGCTTAGAGCACAGCTGTGTCCTGGCTTGCAATGAGCGCCCTCCCCTCTTCTATTTGTTACTTATGCCTGAGTTGATGTGACAGCTACTGGGATTTCCCTCAGCCTGACAGGTGACAGAGCTGTCACATCTATTTTTGATGTGGCACATGCTTTTCTTTAATCATGTAAACAATACTATGCCCTGAACTCTTTCCAACTTGGACTTGGTCTTCAGAGCAAGGGATAAAACCAAGCCTGTTTCAGCTCCAGCAACACAGCTCCCACACCCTTTAACACTCTCAGGTGCTTCTGGGTGCTGTTGGACCCCGTAGTCTCTCTCTCCCCAT